TTGCTAAAAAACATCTTTTAGTGTTTATTGCATATTCCATTAGTCAAGTTACAAGATCATGGTTGTAGTTGAGCACTAGCATCATGCTACCCAATGCAATACCCCATAGGTATCAAGGCACAAGGTACAAAGTACTAGGAAATCCATAGTGGTAATTAAGGTAGACACATGCAACATGAATTAAATGATTAAAGGTGTATAGGACAATAAGGATGATCCCATGCTATACTTGCCTTAAAACTCTGATCCTTCTTCAAGTCCAAAACTTCAAAGGAACTCCTTCTTGATCAACACGTAAAGCTCACCGACTAAACAAGATCATAAAGCACCACACAAGCATCCATGCAACCATACACGACGCAAACAATAGATCTAAATTAGAACAGTACACCAAACATAATAAACAACAAGTGAAAAGATTTTAAAGATGTTCTACACGTTATTACAAACACACAGACGCGAAAAGCACTCTAATCGGAGCTACAGTGAAAAAGATACATCTACCGATAGATTTGCTTCAAAAAGAAACTATAGGCTCTATTTATTTTAGCTATAAAAACATGTATAAGATATTTCAGAGAAATACCTTAATTGAAGCCCAAATTATACTTGATTTAGAAAAACAAGGTAAAACTAATCATATAATTGACCAAGGTGAAAAGCCTAAGTTACTTTTAATTAGAAAAATCCAATTACATAATCATTATTCAAGTTAAGCGTTAAACCATAAAATTCCAGAGCCCTTGACATGGAAAACATTGATACTAATGCGTAGATTATGTCATTATGAATCTAACGCAACTTGAACAGGTCAAATCGAAGTTAAAAGGGAGAAGATATGGCCTAACGAAGATAGTGGCAATTTTGTAAATAGATATAACTTGATTTTCAAATTTAAAATAAATAAAATCAGATTTTAAACTAAGCTAGGGATGGCGGGCATGATAAAGAAGTACCGGGGTTCTTTTGAAAAAATGCAGGGACGGCGGGTTCTATTACGCGAAACTACAGGGACTCTTTAACAAAACGCCAGCTGAAAGGGTATCTTCTAATCTGGGCCGTTGATCTCAGATCGTGCGGTGCAGATCAAATGGGGAAACGAGGGTCGCTGGAGCGGCGCTGTGCGCGGCGGCGCCATGGCCGAGGAGCTCGGCTCCTCGCCGGAGTTCATAGGGACGGCCCTAGAGGCCACGGCTAGACCTGGGGATAGCACGGGAGGAAAGAGAGGGAGATGCCGAACTCAACTAGGCAGGTTACCGAGGCATAGAGCGGACGGAGGCGACGCGGTGCTTGGCGGAGTGGGCGGCTCGTCGGCAGCTAGGGTTGCGGCTCGGCGCGGTGACTCGGCGAGATAGGAGCTTGCTCTGAGGTTTGGGGTGGAGGCGGCGGACACGGCGCTCAGCTTTTATGGGGGCGGAGAGGCATGGAGTGCACGACAAGGCGGAGAGACGGGGGCGCGGTGGATTCCTTCGGCGGCGTTGGAGTACAGCACGACGATGACTCGAGGTAGGAGAAGCCGATGATAAGCGGGCCCGGGCTGTCAGGGACAGAGAAGGAGAAGAGGGCACCGGTGCCAGCGGCTAAGCGGGCCGAGCACACGGGGAGAGGGCAGAGCAGCTGCTGTAGCGGGCCTGGTGCAGTGGGCCGACGGGAGTGAGAGGGAAAGCGGCAGTCAGGCCGACCAGCTAGGGAATGGGCTAGTGGCAGCATGCCAGACCAGAGAGAGGAGAGCGGCGGGCCAGGCCGGAAGGGGAAGGGAAACAGGCCTTCGGGCTAAATTGAAGAAGATGATGATTTTCCATTTTCTTTTCTTATTTCAAAACAAAATTCAAATATAAACCAAATCAAATTTCAAATATTATTTCAAATATACCTTCGATTCAAAAATAGGATAAGAACTCTTGGTAGGTTTTCAAAAATAAATTTTACAACTTTTTAAACTCTTTTATCTTCCAATTCTTTTTTTTTTCTTTTCTTTTATTTCAAAACCATTTTCAAACTCTTTTCAAAAGCGATTTGAATTCAGTTTGAATTTTGGATTCAACCACTTATTGCAATAAATCAAATGCACCAGCATGTATGCACATCCATGTTGCTACTCCTTATGATGAATTTTAATTTAATGTAAATTATTATTTTTCCTATGTTTTTATGAGCACAAAAATACAAAATTAACTCAATTTACATCTATTTAAAAAAAACAAATTTTAGGGTGTTACAGAGAACATGTTTGGATCATATCATTTGAAGCCCAGACGAAGAAATAGCGATTCGGGGTGCTGGCCCAGCCAGAGCCCTGGCCGGTTTGGGCAAGTTCTTCAAATACAAGATTGGATTGCAATATTGCATTCCCCTCATCGAGCTGGTCGAAAAACATATATGGTTCGCCCTGTTCGGAGTCCGGGCGAATTAATTATGATTTTCGGAAGTCGTTCTGCCTAGGCGCACAGCAGAACCTGCTAGGCCGGTTTTGGAACCGGCTAGGCCGCTTTGGCTGCAGTAGAACTAGTCAGGCCGGTTCCAGAACCGGCTAGGCCAGTTTGCCTGGCCGTAGGGCTGCGCAGCCCTGCAAAAACTGGCTAGGTCGATTTGCCTGTGCAAGCCCCGAACCAAACACTTTCCAAAATGATTTTTGGACATGTTTTCATATAGGAAACTTGGAGATCACGATCTGGAGATGTTTCCTATTGGGATAAGACCACCCCTCTCTATATATACGAGAGGATCACGGCTGATTTAAGGATCCAACACTCAATCGTCAAAAAATACATCTATTATCTAGTTTTACCCTTTTCCAACCATCTTGTTGTTTGTTGCATTTCTCTGCGAGATTCATCGGCGTTCTAGGCGGCCTTGCTGGTCCTAGAACAAACCCAAGGCGTGCTCCTCCCCGACGGGTGCTCTCGGGAGGCGTTCCCAGGCTTTTGCAGCGTTGGACGAGCTCTAGATCGGCCTAACCGTTCTCTAGATCGGTTTAGTCATTCTTGGAGTTGTTTGCTACGTGTTTCAGGTTGTGTGCAACCTAGGGCGAGCTAACCCTTGCTGGTGTGTGGCTTAGATCATAATATAACGTCAACACTATGTTGCATAACTTTTTTTGCCGTAGAAATAGCAACGCACATAGCAAAACCTAGATGCACATTTAGATAGAGACCTTGCATAGGTTTTGAAAAATAGAATTAGAGGATATTAGATTTTAGACTAATTCAACCCCCCCCCCCCTCCTACATGTCACTGTTCCTTACAACCAAACAGGTAAGTTGCACTGTATAAGAATGGATATAGGGTAATGTAGGGTACTAATCACAACCACAAATAAAGACACTTCCCATGAAAATGTTGATCATACAAGCAACTTCTACACCAAGGGCTATTGTGTTAGTGTGAGGCAGCATGCTTTGATTAGTACAACAAAAACAATAAGTTGATTTGTCTGCACTATTAAGTAGAGGCTCCATTCATGTTTTTTGTACCCTAGATTTTGTTTTTCCTTTGTGTATTATCTTACCAGCGAAAATCCATTTTAACTTTTACTTCCTTAGATCTTCCTAATATGAAATAATCAAAGCGATGAACCATACATTTTTTTCTAGAAATTTATACTTGAAATTTAATTGCTTCGTCTGCCACTAGGAAATTGTGTTACTGTGGTTACCAAACAAAACATAAGATAATAATAGCAAAGTAGTGGAGAAAAGACCAAAGTACAATAGTAGTCGATGAACCATGCATTGTTTTCTAGAGTTTCTAGTAGGAATATTCAATTTTATACAAATATACAAACTCAAAACTGGCTACCTACAACTCAAAGCAGCTAACAAATAAAAGCATTGTGGCAATACGAGCTTAGCTCAATTGGTTAGATTTCTTGTGATGGATCCTTTCTACCTGGTTAAAATCTTCGACTCGGCATGGTTGGTTGTATTTCTCTCGATTTATTTCACGATTTAACAATGCTATTTTCTTGGTAGGTGTCGTTTTCATCATTGGCGAGGAGCCCATGGTGACCTCTTCAATTTTGAGATCTACTAGCTTGGTCTCGTAGATGTGATCATACAGGTAGAGTGTACGTGTATGTTTAATTATATATGTGTACATGTGTTTATATGAGTGTCTACATGGTGAGATTTAAAAAAAAATCATGCTCTTTTTCTTATATGATCCCATTAAATACCATGACCTTAGTTATCCAAAAAAAAATACCATGACCTTTAAACATATAGTTAAAAAAAGAAATGTACAGTAAGAGAAAGAATATTAAAATGCAATAACAATAATTAAATTTGCCCACATGATTTAGTTGACAAACAGTCAAAATGCACATTAGAGCCTTTAATTTGTGAAGTTCAATCGTCTTTTATTTGGAGGGGAAAATAAACCCCTTTTCCAGAATCTCTCAGTATCTCGATCCCATAACTGTCTTCGGAAATTTGAATATTCGAATGTGCGGGGCATCACGAGGCTATGAGTCTATGACCATTGATTATTATTTTTTTTTAGCAAAGTCTATGACCATTGATTTGTAATAGATGGCTAGACCTGGGCCTCATCTCAGCCCAACATAAATTCCGCCTGTTGACTGCACGAGCCCACCTGGCAGAGCCTCCATCCATCTAAGCTGGTTGGGCCCATTGGCATAGGAGGCCACATTTCAAAAGGCTAGCAACACCATCTATCCAAGCTTCAATACAGTAATGGAATGGCCTTCAGCTGCCCTTATGAGAAGCTGTTTTACTAGCTTCCCATCAATATTTGATACGAATTTAATCAAATACAAACACTAGTAGTCTTTTGTTCTGCGCAGATCATGTAGATAGGCCTGTTGCAAATGTGTAATAATCATGCTTCATTCAAATTCAATCTGGGGACAGCAACAATTCCTACAGCCATTGCCGATTCACTATTCCTTTGGACATGGCAAAATGCTCATCACACAAACAATTATTGTAACCTGTCTGAATTCAACAGGGAATAAACACTAACGCATGCCACAATCTGATCTAATTCACAAATTCTATTCCGGTGAATGTTTCCCCTGAATGAAGCTGGAGAGCGACATCACCAACAACCTGCACCATAAGGACGAGAAAAACTGACTACAAGATGGAAATGGCCACAGAAACAGACAACATTGTCTTTGTAACAAGCCCCTTGGAGCTTCCACATTCAAATATCTGAAGGCGTTAGTGACACATCATCTAATAAATACAGTAATAATTTAACAAATGCAGTTGCACAGTAATGTTATTTAGATGTGGTATATAACAATTACTTAGTACTTACTACAAAATAACTATTGTATTAGCAGATAGCAAGAAGTGCATGATTAATGAAAATAATCACAGCCCATACAGAAAGCAAGCACAAACCTTTGCCATAGTTCGGTAGGAGTATTCGGTGACTCCAGCAACATGTGGTGTTATAATAACATTTGAGAATTTCAGAATGGGGTCCTCTGGATCAAATGGCTCTGTCCAAGCAACATCAATTACCCAAACCACCTAGATGACCTGACTCAAGGTGATTGAACACAGCCTTGTAGTCCAAAAGGCCTCCTCTAGCAATATTGACCAGACACGAACCCTACATATGTAAAAACACCACTAACATTTAATTATTCAGTATTACTATAACAGCAAAACTTTTCGTAACAGAACCTGCTTGTGAATAAAATTTGTCACTATTGGAAGGCGATTGAGAAATGATGAACAAGTAAATCTGATCTATCATCTGCATATCGGTATGTCAGAATGAAATGAACATACCCTTTTCATCGCTGAGAGGAACATATCATCAACAATTCCAACCTACAAATGTCCACACTTTGTAACTAGAGCCGAATAAAGGCTGTCTGTCTAGAAGAGGAGAAGAAATAAACCAAGAGAAGAACTAACTGTTTCATTAGTTTGTAGCAAGCATGTTATGACTATGTCAGCTTCTCCAGCAAGTTCATAGATATCTTCTGGTCCACCTTTTTGATCTACAAGCCCGTCAACATCTGCACAAGGAATGTTTGAAGTGACAGGAGGAGCACGTAAAGAATTTTCATATAGGCATGATATAAGTAGCAGCTTACCACATGGCAATGAGCCTCATGACCAATTTCTTTTTAGTAGCAAGAATTTTTACACCAAATGGTTTTAGCCTCTTGGCAATTTCCACACCAATGGCCCCAAATCCTAGGATAAGGACCTAGACAGTAATCACTAATGCAATTAATTACACAGATGGGATATTCCCAAAGGAAAGTAGATCAGACAAGCAATTTCCACATGAAGGCCCAAGAGCATACTGTTTTGCCTAATATTGTTCTTCCTGTTGGACTTCCCAGGCCCTTCTGATGCACAGCAGCATCCATCAACTTCTGCAAAGTAATGCCCAAAGTCCAAAACATGAGTGGTTCATTATATATGAAAGCAGCTAATCTTAATTAATACAACGAAAACAAGTAATTAAATGTTTTTATTCTATTAAAAACACTTATGACAGAAACTAAATTAATGCCCTATCAAACTTCTACACAAGAATTTTTGCTGCTTTCATGAAAATGCATTCAAGTATTCAGTTTTGACAAATTTCATAGTATCTTCCGAACTAGAAATAACAAAACAGATGAACACTGTAAACTTCCAAGTTTCCCCTAGGCATACATGTTTATCTATCAAAACATAAAAGTGGAGATCAAAAACCAAAGCATGTAGAAAAACTACTTGTCTTTGTTATTCCCGTAGGATAGTATGGACTTTGAGTAAATATGTTAAATCAATGAGACTGCAGTAGTGAACAAAAATTCCTGCTTGCTTAAGGTACGTCTATAATCATTCGTGGACTATTGTTGAATGCACATGATGGGATTAGTCCTGATAATTTGCTTAGTTTCGATCCATGTTTTTGAGGCGTCGCCTAATCGTCGCCTAGGCGTCGCCTAGGCGCCAAGGCGTGCTCGAGGGCCTGGGCGTCGTCCTCGCCACGACCTCAGCCTGTATGGCGTCCGCCTCAGCAGATTAGGCGTCGCCTAGGCACGAATGGCGTCGGGCGGACGCCTAGAGCTCTCCAGCGGACGCCATAATCTAATTCGCAGGGAGGCGCGAATCGAGTGCGTGTCCGCTGGAAATCGGACTTGGCGCGCGAAGGGGCGAAATGATGACTGCGAGGAAAGGCGCTGAAAATGACCGCATGACCCATGAATCGACATCGCTGGCGCTGGAATTTGCGATTTCACGCGCTGGAAATCGACCCCGCTGAGCCATTACCATGCGAGGGGCGAGGGAGACCGGAGAGAGAGAGAGAAGGCGGCGGGCGGACCTCCTGCCCGCACGCTGCTCCTCCGCTTCGCCACTCGAGTCCACCGGCCAGCCTCCCCTTCCGAGAAGAAGAAGCGCCAGGCGAGGGGAGACCGGAGAAAGAGAGAAGGCGGGGCGGACCTCCTGCTCCGCCGCTTCCTCCTCCGCCGCCACTCGAGTCCACCGGCCGGCCTCCACCGAGAAGAAGCTGCCTCCGCTTCATGGCTCGAGCCCCTCCAAAGATTTGCCTCCGGTCATCTTGTTGCCGCTTTGTGGTATGCCCCCCGCCTACTCGCTTCGTGAATATAGTAATGCCTCGTATGCCCGCTTTGCTCCGCTTTTGATCTGAATATTGTATGCCTCGTTCTCGTGCTCTGCTATTGACCTCAATCGGAATATTGTATGCTCATCTTTGGATGCCTGTCCTGCCTCCTCCCTTCTCTAATATTTATTCTCGCACTCTGTTATCCGCTTCTGCTTTTCTTTGATGCTTGCTTTTTATATTATATGGGTACTCACATATACAAATGCTCGCTTGTGCTTGGGGCTGTCACACACCTGCTACAACACAAAGCATGAGATCTTTCTTTGATCCCAAGATCGATCCAGCAAGCAACATGGCAAGCACAGTTGAAGTACCTGAGTATGATCCCAAGACTGATCCAGCAAGGAAAGCAAAGTCCAATGATCCAGCAAGGAAAGCAAAGTCCAATGATCCCAAGACTGGATTTTGAGTGCTGAAACAGAGATTTGCACTCAGCCCTTTTGTGTCCTACACCCTTGTCCTTCACTCATGTTGTATGGCTTTGGTGTAGTTGACTAGTAATTAGAATGCTTTAGAGTCCAGTAGATTTCCAGACTTTCGGGTCTCTAAGTTTGTGGACTATTAGAGACAAACTATGATGTCATTTGTCATGCTCATGCATGAACTAATGCACTAAGCCACTAATGCTTGCTAATTTGTTGTATTGCCTCTTGTGTATTGTTTCTTATTTAATTCTCAGCAGCTGGTAACAATGTAACATGTTCATTTACATTTCTTCATGTCATAGATTGCCGAATTTTGGAATTGTCATGTAGTTTGCTTCAAGGGGGATGGATGCTACATGGGAGAAGAGCTTTTGGAAAGGGAAGAAAGGAACCTGGGCTCCAGAATTGGGAACAAACCAGGTATGTATGTGCTGCACTTACTATATAAAACTCTAGCTTACAGCGCCTTACAACATGTGTATGGCGTCGCCTAGGCGTCCGCCATAAACGCCTAGGCGTTGTGAAGGGGGTCGGGCGCCGCGCCTCGCCGCGGCGCCTCAAAAACATTGGTTTCGATGTTGTAACTTCGTACAATATTTAAAATGCTCTAGATAGTGGAAAAAAGGCCATGATGGTTCATTGAAGAGAGTCATCAGAAAACATGAAACATGTGAAGAGCAAATCCAATTTCCAATTTGTCAAAATTCAGAACTGCTATCCATAGAAACATACTTGCTTCCGCAGAACACCAAGGGTAAGATAGATTGCCATCTCTGCACAAGAGACTGCATTTCCTGTCATACTCCCAGGTATTCTTGCAACTTTGATTTTGTGTTCTGTTGCAGCATTTACATCAACACCTGATGGAAATCGTGAACTTAATATAAGAGAATTTAGTAATTCTGATATGTATTAATTAATATAGTACCAAAGTTATAGTCACCTTCTAACCCAACGCCATACTGCATAATAATCTTCATCTGGATTGCCTTCGCAATGATATCTGAATCTATGCGTCGATTCTTCACAGCACATATATGATAGTTTTGGATAACATCAGGTACCTGCTCAAGGCCCACTTCGTCTACCTGCAAATGGAATTGGATGGAATGGGGGGGCTTTCACATTCAAACTCCAGGCAATCAGCTTGCTGTTGTTCAGATGTGTTAAAAAGAAGAGGGGAGGAAGAGGTTCCCAAACCTCAATGAATGGATTGTCCTGCAAATACTCGGTGGTGTACCTCGTGGAAGCAGGGAAATATGGGCCACAGAATAGCACCCTTGTAACCTTGCTGCAGCCATTGCTTTTGATTGCACAAGCCACTGTTGAAACATGACGTGCAGTGGAGGAACAGCATGAACAAAACAACTTATGACATAATTAAAGCAATTGTTTCTACTGGGCTACCAAAAACACAAATGGTAACACCGCCTATCAATCAATTTGACAAGCTAAACAAGAAATTTCCAAAATATGGACTGGATGGAGGTGGCCAGACCAGATACTCTGCCTTCTGAAAATACTCATTTTCTCTACTCAGCATTTCACTGGACAGTGGACACAAATACTTCCATATTTCCTCCTCCACATCCAATTCCATTTCCCCGAAACCAATAGTTCTTGCAGGAACGGGTCGAACGGAACATCACCACCGACGCCATCAGCTCGTAACCACACCTCCACAGCAGGCCCAGGAATCACCGGACCAAAGAACCCGGCGAACCAAGAGGCACCCGAAGACGGAGGCTAACAAGGGCGGGCGGAATGCCGTATCTCGCGCTCGCGGCAGGAAAGGGGAATCGCCACCGCGGCTGCCTGCGGCAGCGAAGGCGGCGGCGCGAGGGAGCTGGTGTGCTGTGGCGTGTGTGGGTGTGGCCGGCCTAGCTGCCAATCTTGCTCCCGCCATTGAATATAGGAAAACAAAAGGCCTCTCAAATCTCAAACACCTTTCACCCTTTTTTCTTCCCTACAAAACTAGGTAGATCAACTAAAATTTCTTCCTAGTGCACTACCTTTTTATAAGGACTATAAGGGCTAGGGGTTCCTTCTTTATCTTTTATATAAAATTATTATTAGAAGGTAGCTTGGTTTATGTTTCCAAACATATTATTTTTCTTTTTGTGCCTAAAGCAACCAGAACAATTATTATTATTTTATATATATTCAAGCCTCCTAGACTTTGCGTGGTTGAAATGTGAACAATTACCATGGACCCTGATGCGATCGATCCATCAATATGGATTTGATAACGCTCCACTGCGGGCGTTAGTCCCGCGTCTGGACGCCGGACGCTACGCGGTCTTATAGGGTTCACGTATTTTACCCACCACATAAATATCCTTTTCGGTTCTATCTCGTAAATCTCCTCCGTCTCTCCATTTGAAGGAACACGGAGAGGAAGGATGTCCAGGACAGAACACGCCCAATGCGTGGCCGCAATGCTCCATTCACGCCCCACTCGTCGCCTCGGGTTGACGCAAGTGTGGAGATGTAGCATCCGGTTTTAAGAACAAAACTAGATACGCACCATATCTGAGTTTAGGAAGTCAAATCTCACATATAGCTACAAATAAAGGTAATATTAAAAGACAATGCTCAATATATAACATACTTAGTGTAAAAGATGTAACCTTAGATAACAAACAGCGAAAAGAGAACTCCGATCTTCGGGAGAAGACTCCAATTCTATAGGGACAACTAACTGATTGATCAGAACCCTAATTTCTCCAAACACTAGCAATCTGGTACCCATCCGGGATTTTACCAAAGATTTAAAAAGTAAAACAAGCGTAAGTACATGTCGTACTCAACAAATATAATATGGGGTTCATGAGACTCAAAAGGCTGACACTGATTTAACTGCGATTAGCTTTTAATGAGTCATCTTTTAGCAATTGGGTGGTGTGGCAGAACCGCCTAATCTAATGTCTCACAGGAGTACTTGTCTTCTATTAGACACTAAGTACTCAAGGGAGAACACCAAATTACGCAGTTTCGTCGGGCACACCCCAAGGGAGAACCTAAAAATTCATATTTTTTCATCAGGATCACAAATGAGAGAATAAAGCTTACATCATTCTTAATCATTTCTTACATCACTTTTATTACGACATCAGAGTATAATATTTATTATCATAACAGCGGAATATAATCATATTATCAGAGTTATGGACAATTTAATTGAACAGCGGAATATAAACATGTGAACAGAATTACAGCGGAACTAAATAAATATCTATCCATGGCATAATGAAGCAATGATATATAAAGTATGACAACAGATTATAAAACTTTCATTTATACAAACATTTAGTGAGAGTTATAAATAAAAACTACGATCACAGCGTAAAAGAATCCTCGCTGAGCCCACCAGGAGGAATCCACATACAAGGGTCAGCTCTAGCATCCACCTGTCACTTGCAACAGGGGGAGATAAAACCCTGAGTACTCAATTGTACTCAGCAAGACTTACCCGACAGGAGAAAAGAAAAGACTTCAAGGATATGCAAGGCTATCCGGCTTGTGGGTTTATTGCATTTGTAGGAAGCATTACTAAGTGTGCGTCCTTATATTCGATTTTTATTAGCAGTGTATTAGTTCATTAACTAACCATTCTATGTAAGCTCCTATGCTTCTTTCAAGCAGGTGGTAAGGAATCAGATTTCCTTTTTCCATCTTCCATCTTTTATCTTTCAGTTCTTACTACGGTGTTAGGCCATAGACAAGCTGTACTGAATTTCTCGGTGATCCGCGAATCAATGCCCCCAGCTAGGTACCCTGAAAACACACGCCCCGCTTGTACCCAAGACACAAGCAGGACCAACCCACTACCCTTCTGTCATGGGGTCCAGGTCCCCGTCCAAACTGTGACTCCAAGCCCCCGCCTCTGAGTCCCGGACTCAGTGCGGTGTAAGGACCTCCTAACCCAAAAACCACCCTGACAATCGGTCTGGACAGAGCCAGAACCCATGATAAGAGAGTAACAAGTCTTCCAAGCGTCCATACCCAAGTATGTGCTCGGAATAATAAGTCTATGACTTACCGAGAGTCTTATGCAACGGCCGATCCTTAACCGACACGGACAGGGAAAACAGTATAACCAAGCGATGCCCCATTGGTCGCAGGACACAACCTCTTACACCCACAAATACCCAAACCATATCGCTGCCCGGTCACCATTTTTCCTTTTCACCATTTATATTTTCCAAGTGATAATAATACAGTGATATATTTTCTCTCTCTCGCGAGTGACAGGCAATCACTCAACTTCTACCGGAGTCCTGTAGCATAGCAATCTACACGATCCTGTCATTCTAGTAAGACTCATAGGATAAAGATATGTATATGCAAGTGGGTTTCATTCAACTCCTTAAAACTTAATGCACAAATATAATTTAAAGTGCAGAAAAGTAGGAGTTATGCACCGGGGCTTGCCTGGGTAAAAGATAACCAAAAGTTAGCATTCTATCTTGGCGGCACGATCCTTGGCACCATCTTTTCAGCTACTCCAGTTGATACCATCGATCCACCGTCGTTCCTATTATGATATGCAATGCGATGCAATGCAAAGACATAATTAATCGACTGCAACCGTGACTCGTAAAATACAATTTACGTCTCTCAAGTTAACGAGCTAGTTCTAATGACGACCGTACTTAGGCTACATATCCATGTTGTCGAATAAGGCGTTACTTCCCAACAAATATTTTAGTTATATAAACCCAAGTTATTTCTTTATTTCATTCTACCGATTTAATCATTATTCAAAATAGGGCATCATTATCTATCTAGCAAACTAATTATTCAGGAACTACAAAAATTACAGTGAGCATCTAACAATATTAATAATTTACTATAAAATTTTTAGAGTCAACACTATCACCGATTTCTCACAAAAATTCCTACAAGTTCAGTTTTTAACAATATTAAACACTTTAAAATAATTAGAGCAACCCTAAAAACATACGGAACCTATGCAAACAAAACACCCTATCAGATAGATCATGATTTTAGAAACTCAACAAAACTAATTTGGCATTCTTATGATTTTTCTACGATTTACTACGAATTTTACAAGTTTCAGCCATTTAAAGGGATTAATAACAGTGATAAAAGGAAAAAAGGCTTAGCCATCCATTTTGGCCCAAGTCGGCCCAATCCGATGGGCTCGGAGGCCAGCCCACGCAGCCAACCGGCAGAGCGCAGCCAGAGCAGACCGCCCCATGCGGGCGTGCGGCCTAGCGCACAGCGCGCGCGGCCCAGGCACGGACGCAGGCCCATGGCCGAGTAGGACGCAAGGCCCAGCCGTCTAGCAGGCCGGCCCAAGAGGGGAGGCCCAGTGCGGGACGTCGATTTTTGCAAGAGAGACCTCATTGCCTTACTAATTCGCATTACGACTGTTGACGCTATTCATTTCAGTCACAAGTTTTGCATTCCGATCCAAAAATCATTTTCTACTCTTAGCTTTCTCCGTCCACTCAGCACACGGAGCAGAGGAGCATCGGCTGGCGGTCAATCCCGGCCAGAGAAGGCAAGGCAGTGGCGGAGCATCGGTCGTGAGGAGGCACGGCGGGGCGGGGCGGTGCCGTGGGGGATGGGTGACGCTGACATGGGGTGGCACCGCAGCAGGGAGTGACAGCATATCACCGGCACCGGCGCGGGCGTGGGGTGCGGACCACGATGGAGACGCGGTGCGAAACCCGGGCGCGTACGGGCGAAGGCCACGGAGACGTCGGTGAGGAGGCACGACAACGGCGCTGCAGCACAAAGGAGAGGAGGTGAGGTGGAGCCACGCACGACAAAGCCATACTGGCACGGACGGGCAGCGCCAAGGGAGCTGCAGACCAGCATGAGGCCATGGGGTGCGCACGCGCTCGTAAGAGACCAGGCCAGGGACGACGACGGATGGCGCGACCACAGTGGCCATGCGGTGGTGCGGCATGTCGGGGCAAGGGAGTGGACGCTAGGGTACTGAGCGCAGGGGAGGAAGAGGAGGGGGGCGCCGGTGACTACGGGCATGGGCGCACGAGTGGGGCAGTGGTCCAGAGCGGACTGGGGGCTCACGCGCGGGGAGGGCCAGCACGGGAGCAGCCGCATGTGCCATAGGAGGCCGCCCAGAGTAGCTGCTGCAGACGTGGTCGGACGGGACACGCGACGCGGCGGCACGCCAGTATGGTCGGGGCGTGTATACCGTGAAGGAGGTGCTCGGAAGGGCAGTGTAGTGGAGCACACGCGCACACGCGAAGGGAAGGGAACGACGGGTGGAAAGGAGGCACAGCGACGATGGCCCAGCGACGGCGCTCCTCCTCGACATAGCAGGAAAGGAGAGGGAGGGGAAAAAGCAGCACGCGGCTTGGAAGAGCAAGCAAAAACAGTGGCAGAGAGGGCAGAGGACAGTGGCGTAGAGAAAAAAAGGCGAGAAGACCTGAGCGAGCTCGTTCGAGCACGTGGTCCGGTCGGTGAATCAGAAAAGGGCTTGGCGATGCAACAACGATGCTTGGCTTCACGGGCAAGAACAGAGAAACTTGATTGGAGAGAAGCAAGTGAGCAGCGGAGCTAGACGGCTTGGCATAGCAGAGGAGACAAGGACAAGCAGAGGCAGATAACAGCTCGGCCATCTTCTTCATAAACATGGCGTGGGCAGGACAGCCTGGCACAACGT